TGATTTTCTGGCTAGTTGTTCTATCAGTTGTTGAGAGAGTGTTGACATTTCCAATATAATCCCAGACTTGTCTATTCTCCATTCAGTGGTCCCCATTTTTGTTTCACATATTTTGCAACTCTATTTTTTGGTACACACACCAAATTATTTTGGTAAACACACCAAAGAATTTAGAATTCTTACAGCTTCTTGATAGGTTGATACTTAAAATTTTTTTATTTATTTAAATTCAAGTTAGTTGTTCATAGCAGCACTCTCCACAATAGCTAAAACATGGAAAGAGCCTAAGTGTCCATCAACGGACGAATGGATCAAGAAGATGTGGTTTATCTATACCATGGAATACTACATGGCAATGAGAAACAATGAAATCTGGCCATGTGTAGCAACATGGATGGACCTTGAGGGTGTTATGCTGAGCGAAATAAGTCAGGCAGAGAAGGACAAATATCATATGTTTGCACGTATAGGAGGATTAGGAGGAACTTGACGGAGGAACAAGGGGGAGAAGAAGGGGGGAAATGGTGGGGGAAAGGGAGAGAGGCAAACCATGAGAGACTCTTGAATGCTGACAAAAACTGAGGACTGATGGACGTGGGGGGGAGAGGGGGATGGGCATGGAGGAGGGCACTTATGGGGATGAGCACTGGGTGCTATGTGGAAACCAATTTGACAATAAACTATTTGTAAAAAATAAGTAAATAAATAAAGCAATATGCTGCCAAAAAAATACTCAAGACACATAAAAAATGTTCAAGTTAGTTAACATACAGTATAGTATTGTTTTTTTTTTTTACACATCATATAATTTCCATCTCTATCTCTAGTAATTTTCTTTGATCTGAAGGTTCTACTTCATATGATATTAACATAATCACTTCTGCTTTCTTTTGATTAATGTTTACATGGTATATCTTTTTCTACACTTGTACTTTCCATCTCATATATAATTTGAAGTGAATTTCTTCTAGATATTATGCAATTGGTTCATTTTTTAAAAGCCCATTCTGCCACTCTATTTTAATTGGTATATTTAGCCTATTTACCTTACTGTAATTATTGGCTATAGGACTTAAGTTTGTCCTTTTATTTTTATGGTTTTAGTTTTCTCTGTTTTTTCTTCCCCTGTGTCTTTCCTACCTTTATATGACATGTACAGTTCATATTTGAACATTTTTTAGAATTTTATTTTGATATACCTACATCATACATACATAACTTATCCTAGCTGACTGGTGTCATTATTTTGCCAGTTTGAATAAAGTGGAGAAATCTTACCTTCCTTTTTATCCTTTTGCTCTTCTCTATATAATTGTCTTAAATATTTCCTCTCTATACATGTAGAAACACAGCAAGTAGCATTATAATTTTTGTTAGTAACTCAAGAGGAGAAGGAAAGTCTGTTTTTTTACTCATGTATTTGTTTACTCTGTTCAGCCTCCCTTATGTTCAGTGATTTCTTTTCTGCTTTGAGATCTTCTATTAGCCATTCTTTTGAGAAGCCTACTGACATTACATTTGTTCTCCTAAATTGTTATTTTTTTCGGGCTACTTTCAAGATTTTTTCTTTGTTTTCAGTTTTCAGAAATTTAATTATATGTAGTGGCATGAATTTCCTTGTTTTTCCTGTTTGGAATCTGCTCAGCTTCTTGAATCTGTAGGTTTATGTTTATTTGCAAGTTTGGGAAGTTTTTAAGCATTATTTTCTCAAGTTTTTTTCATCCACACACTCTTCTCACTTTTCGGGATTTAATTACATGAAAGTTAGATATATACAGCCATTTTTAAAATTTTATTTTACAGTAGTTTCATTTACTATAGTCAAAACCTAGAAACAGCCCAGATGTCCCACCGGTCTTTAAATCTCTGTTCTTTTTTTTCAGTCTATTTTCTCACTGTTGCTTTGATTGATTAATTTCTATTGTTCTATTTTGCAGCTTGCTGATTCTTTCTTCTGTCTGCTTCATCGTGTTCTTGAGCCTATCCACTGAGGTTATTATTTCTATTGTTACATTTTTCAGTTCTTATATTTCCATTTGGTTCTTCTTTATGTCATCTATTTGTGCGTGTGTGTGTGTGCATGTGTGTGTGTGTGTAGACTTTCTAATATTTTCATTTGTTTCAACTGTGTTCTAATGGGTTGTTGAAGCTTAAGATCCTTTTTGGAGAATTCTAACATCTCTTGATGTTGGGCTCTTTCAAGCAATTAAATTTTTATTTAGGTTGAGATGTTTGTGATTTTTTTATATAAGGAATGACTTCCTGTTGAAACCTAGACATTTTGAGAATTATATAATGTGTGACTCTGAATCTTTTTCAAATCTTTGGGTTTAACTGGTTTCCTCTAACACTGCTCCAGCAGGGGGGTGGGAGTGCTACCTTGTTACCCAGATTCCCCATCTATTGACAACTGGATTGGGGATTGACCCAACTAAAGAGATAGACTTTATTATTACTGTGTGTGGTGGGAGTTCCAGCTCTCCATTAGGCCTCCACCGATACCTTCTTGGTGAAAGAAATAGAAATGTTTTGTTACTTCTCCTAAAACATGTATGTGTAAAAATGGGTAATTCCAAAAACTAAGGATGAGGAAGTTGATGTTATGATAGTAATTTTTCTTGAATATTTTAATTTATGTATATTTGAGCTCCTGAATATTTGTATGTATTTAATTTGTAATATTTCACTTGTTTCAAGTCTATTGTACTGAACAGTGGGAGCTGTAGATATTATTCCTTTGTTAAACCAAAAAGTAATACTTGTGCTCTGTGACAAATCCAGTGAATTCAGAGTAGTTTAGAGTAAAATGGTCCTCCCCATCCCAACTCCATTCTCCGTATGTAACTACCTTTAACAGTCAGACATGTATTCACACAGTTTTTAATCTCTATTGACACTTTAATCATGTTTTCCCACCTCATTTACCCACTCCTAGTCTTTCTCTCCTACTTCTCTTCCTTTGTAAGCTTATCCTTCTCTATCCAGCTGTTAAATGTTGGGATGCTTTCAGACTTGGTTCTAGAAACCTTTTTTTCTACATCAATATTGTTTTTCTTTGTGACTCATCCATACACTTGCATCAATTGCCATTTACACGTAGATGACTCATAAACTTATTTTTCTAGTTCAGATCTCTGGTCTGAGTGTCTAACTCATGCCAACTCTGCATGTGACATCTCCTTTTGTATCTAAGTGGCACTTCAAGCCCAACATGCAAAAACCAGACTAGTGATCTTCCCTTCCAACCTCTTACAGATCTCACATCTTAGTGAGTGGTACAACTGTATAATGAGTTATATTTGCCAGAAGCCTGGAGACATTGTTGCTTCCCTTTTTCCTTCACCTCCCATACCCAGCTTGTCACCATTCCTGTGGCTTTTCCTTCCTAATCTGCCTACTCCTTTCCTTCTTTACCTCCAGGCTTTCATGATCTCCTGCCTGGGCTAATGAAGTCGTTTCCTAAATGGACTTTTTTGCTTTAATCTCATTGAGTTTGAATTAATTTTTTACTCAGTAACAAGAGAGATATTTTCAAAATAAAAATTTGGTCATGTTAGCAGCCTACTTAAAATATTTCATTTTTTACTGCTCTTATGGTAAATACCTAATCATTAACATGACTTAGCCAGGTGTGGATCATGTCCTTGACAATCAATAAATATTTGTGGAAAAATGAATACATGAACTTACATAGTTTAGAGTGTTTGTTATTAAAATAGTATTATTAACACGTGTATCTCTATGTATCATTTTTTACTCTTGTTATATTTCTATTTTATATATTTCTAGAAATGGGGCTGCTAGTATGGTTTAGTCCTCATCTATTAAATATCAAGGGTAAAGGAGAAATCGGTGTAAAGCCTGTAGTAATCAAGAGAAAAAGAGAAGTCTGATATAGGAAGATCAGTGATGATTTATTAAGGGAGCAGTCTTGTACCTTCTATTGGATGGGAGGGAGTTATATCCTAAAGAATCATCCAATGACTTAAGGACTTTTTGTTTTTGAGATTTCATGCCAAATAACTTTAGGTAAAATATTTTGTAAGACAGAGCAAAGAACAAATGAGTCAGATTTTCATATTTGTAACAAATGTGACATTCCTATTTTTATTTTGCTTAACTGTTTTTCTTATTAAAGACAATCTATGTAAACTAGGTAGTTTAAGGAAAGGAATGATTTGAAATAGGGTGGTCACATAAGAAGGATGAATACAAATAATATATGAATTATAATTTTCATAGAAATAGAAGATCTGTTTACTAGTGTAGTAGATACTGGGCAGAATGTGATGTAGACAAATAGTATTTTCAGAGACATGTTCCTCCATCTCTGTCTCTTTTGGTTTACTCAATGGAAGAAATGTAGTTTGTGCTGGTGCTTGTGAAGTAGGTAGAAAACAGGATGAAGGTATCAGGTGCCTGAACGATGGAAGACTTGGAGTATCAGTGTGCTACTAGTGCTGTACTTACTAATTTTATGACCTTGGGCAAGGTAGCTAATCTCTATGATACTAATTGTCCCATCTGGAAATAGTACTAACCACTGATTTACATGCAAAGTAGGTTGGATATGATTATTTGTTTTATTAGTTATTAATGTATTTATTTAAAAATTCATTTGTTTGAGATGATACTAAAATACTTTATTACTGATTTTAGTTATGAATTTGCATACCAGAAAGATAAAAAGGTTGCAGGATGACTCACAACAGACAGTTAAGGCACTGAGAGGTAACCATAAAACTCTTAGAGTTAATATGCTTTTGTAAATATGCATTTGTTCAAAGGGAGCACACAACTCTATGAAATTCGTTTGTAACTCTACAAATTTTTTCTGTTTTTCCCCTCACTCTAGCCTATCTTTGTTCATAATGAAATGTGTAGATTAAGCAGCTTTATATTTATTTTCTTCTTCCTATTAATTTTGCATCAGCTACTTTGTGGCTGTTTAAGCAAAGCATTGATTTAATTGCTCTGTTTGTCATTCCTTCTTGTTCTAGGCAATGGACCTCACCACGACCGTTGCTGTACTTATAATGAAAACAACTTGGTGGATGGTGTTTATTGTCTCCCAATTGGACACTGGATTGAGGCCACTGGGCACACCAATGAGATGAAGCATACAACAGACTTCTATTTTAATATTGCAGGCCACCAAGCCATGCATTATTCAAGGTAAAAATAGTGCCATGTTTATAAGCATAAAAGTAGGACGAGAGGTAGTATTAGGACAATGGAAGTGTTTACTGTGTTCAAAGCAGCAGTGTCTCCCTTTGGAGAGGTATGTGGGCCTGCAGTATTTTAAGGAGATAAATTATAGTGAATCTCTGTGTGAGCTTTTTCTGATTCTAGACCTGAAGGATCCTTTTCATATAATCCTTTTATTAATTACCTAATCTGGTGTCAATGTATTTTGACCAGACTGTAGTTGGCCAATCTTTGTACTTACATAGTGGGTCCTAGACGAGCATTTATATTTTTTATGCTACTGAACAACAGTGAAAGAAAAACTGGTGTCTCTTTATAAACTTTATTAAGAAAAACATGTAAATATGGACATAAAACTAGATCAGATATGATCATTTGCTGTATTATTTAATAATATATTTATTTTTTTGTTTATGTAATTGTTAGGCCAGCAAGATGTGCCATAATAAAAATTAAAACACTAAAGAGGCTACTAACTGAAAAATAAAGTTCAATACACTTTCCTTATTTCCACTCATCAGAAGTAATTATTTCCAATGATTTTATGGTTAGTTTTTCTCGAGGTTAAATCCAAGTCTTAAATGATATTCATATAGTGTATCAGTTCATATAATATATAATTCATATAATGTATCAATTTATAAATAGCTATTATTTCCTATCTGTGGCATGAGAGATATTTAGCTCACTTATATTTGTTCTCTTTCCCCACTCCCAATGCCTACCAGCTCATTAAAAAAATTCCTTTGTTATTTGACTTCATGAAAACTCTTATTTCTTGACCCATACAATCTTGACAGTGCTTCTTGATTTCCTACTGGATAAGTCAGAGATTGATTGTCCCTGTGTTTTCCTCCACATCCACTTCCACCTGTTAACTCCTGCTTTGCATTACTTTCATTTTCTCAAGGTTTATAGAATTTATACTTAATTTTCTAAACATAAGTAAGTCTTTTATGATTTGAAGATTTAAAAAAAGAAACCAATATTCAACATTTAAAATATCATGTAAATATTATTTACTGTGGACCATGCAGTCTTTGTGCCATAGACCAAGAGAAGAATTCTCATCTTAAAAACTGTATTGCTTTGGGGCTCCTGGGTGGCTCAGCTGGGTAAGTGTTTTACCTTGGCTCAGGTCATGATCTCACAGTTCATGAGTTTGAGCCCAACGTCAGGCTCTATGCTGACAGCTCTGAGCCTGGACCCTGCTTCAGATTCTGTACCTCCCTCTCTCTCTTTGCCCCTCCCCTACTCACTCACACTCTCTCTCTTTTCTCTTTCTTTTTATCTCAAAAATAAATTTTAAAAAGCGTTTAAGAAAACTATATTGTTTTGAATGAGAGATATAATTAATACAAACAGGGTTGTGAGTGGTAATACGAGTATGATAATACTTCATCATAGGATTAGGGAATTCGTGTTCTTCTTGGACACACCATTCTTGTAAATTCATGCTAGACGTTGGCCTTGCTGATGGATTGGAGGCAGAACATGAGGAAGAGAGGAGCTAAACATGACTTATAGCTTTTGGCCTGAACAACTGGATTAATGGTACTGTTATTTATTGATATGGGGAAGACAAAGAGATGAGCAGAGTGGAGTATGGATTGAGATGACAATTCTCTTGTTGGCATATTACATTTGAAATGTAGGTTTGATTGCAGATATAGGAAATCAATTTGATATCTGGATGTTTGTGGAGAGGTTGGGAGTTGACAGATAAAATTGGGGTTATCAGTATATAGGTGACATCTAAATAGTGAGTTTAAATGGGATCATTTAATGAATGAGTGAAATATAGCAGCGGAAAAAAAGTAAGGGAATATAATAGGCCCGTGGACCCATACAATTTAGAGATCAAAGGTAAGAGGATCCAGAGAAAAGATCGAAAACAAGCATCTGTTGAGATGGTTTTTATGTGTATTTTCCTAATGATGAGTGATGTTGAGCATCTTATAATGTGTCTGTTGGCCATCTGGATGTCATCTGTGGAAAAGTGTCTATTCATGTCTTCTGCCCATTTCTTCACTGGATTATCTGGTTTTGGGTGTTGAGTTTGTAAGTTCTTTATAGATTTTGGATACTAACCCTTTATCCGATGTCATATGCAAATATCTTCTCCCATTCTGTTGGTTACCTTTCAGTTTTGTTAATTGTTTCCTTTGCAGTGCAGAAGCTTTTTATCTTGATGAGGTCCCAATAGTTCATTTTTGCTTTTATTTCCCTTGCCTTTGGTGACTTCTTGAGTAAGAGGTTGCTGCGGCTGAGGTCAGAGAGGTTGCTGCCTGTTTACTTCTCTAGGGTTTTGATGATTTCTTGTCTCATGTTTAGGTCTGTCGTGCATTTTGGATTTATATTTATGTATGGTGTAAGAAAGTGGTCCAGTTTCATTCTTCTGCATGTTGCTGTCCAGGTCTCCCCGGACATTTTGCTAAAGAGACTTTTTTCCCTTGGATGCTCTTTCCTGCGTTGTCAAAGAGTAGTTAGCCATGCAATTTGTGGGTCCAATTCTGGGTTCTCTATTCTACTCCATTGGTCTATGTGTCTGTTTTGGTGCCAGTGCCATACTGTCTTGATGATTACAGCTTTATAGTAGAGGCTAAAGTCTAGGACTATGAGGTCTCCTGCTTTGTTTTTCTTTTTCAACATTACTTTGGCTATTTGAAGTCTTTTGTAGTTCCATATAAATTTTAGGATTGTTTGCTCTAGCTTTGAGAAGAATGCTGGTGCAATTTTGATTGGAATTGGATTGAATGTGTAGATTGCTTTGGGTGGTATTGACATTTTAACAATATTTATTCTTCCAATTCATGCACATGAAATGTTTCTCCATTTCTTAGTGTCTTCTTCAGTTTCTTCATAAGTTTTCTATAGTTTTCAGCATATAGATCTTTTACATCTTTGGTTAGTTTTATTTCTAGGTATTTTATGGTTATCAGTGCAGTTGTAAATGGGATCCATTTATTGATTTCTCTTTCTGTTGCTTCATTATTGGTGTAAATAAAAACAACTGATTTCTTTACATTGATTTTATTTTATTTTATTTATTTATTAAAAAAATTTTTTAAGTTTTATTTATTTCTGAGGGAGAGAAAGAGACAGGCAGCGTGAGCAGGGGAGGGTCAGAGAGAGGGAGACACAGAATCTGAAGCAGACTCCAGGTTCCGAGCTGTCAGCACAGAGCCTAATGCGGGACTCGAACCCACAAACCATGAGATCATGACCTGAGCTGAAGTCAGACACTCAACCGACTGAGCCACCCAGGTGCCCCACTTTACATTGATTTTATATCCTGCAACTCTGCTGAATCCATGTATCAGTTCTAGAAGCTTTTTGGTGGAGTCTTTTGGGTTTTCCATGTAGAATATCATGTTATCTGCAAAAAATGAAAGTTTGGTTTCTTCTTTGCCAATTTGGATTTCTTTTATTTCATTTTGTTGTCTGATTGCTGAGGCTAGGACTTCCAACACTATGTTAAACAACAGTGGTGAGAGTGGACATCCCTGTCACGTTCTTGATTTCAGGGGGAAAGCTCTCAATTTTTCCTCATTGAGGATGATGTTAGCTGTGGGCTTTTCATCAATGGATTTTATGATGTTAAGGTATGTTCATTCTATCCTGACTTTCTTGAGGGTTTTTTTATTAAGAAAGGATGCTGTATTTTGTCAAATGCTTTTTCTGCATCTACTGAGAGGATCATATAGTTCTTATCCTTTCTTCTATTAATATGATGTATTACATTCCAAATCTTGAACCAGCCCTGCATCCCAGGAATGAATCCCATTTGATCATGGTGAGTAATTCTTTTTATATGCTGTTGAATTTGATTTTAGTATCTTGTTGGGAATTTGTGCATCCATGTTCATCAGGGATATTGGCCTGTAATTCTCCCTTTTTTGTGGGGGTCTTTGTCTGGTTTTTGAATCAAGGTAATGCTGGCTTCATATAATGAGTCTGGAAGCTTTCCTTCCATTTTTCTTTTTTGGAACAGCTTGAGAAGGATAGGTATTAACTCTGCTTTAAATGTCTGGTAGAATTCTCCTGGGAAACCATCTGGCCCAGGACTCTTATTTATTGGGAGAGATAACTGATTCAATTTCTTTGCTGGTTATGGATCTGTTCAAATTTTCTACTTCTTCCTGTTTGAGTTTTGGTTGTATGTTGGTATCTAGGAATTTGTTCATGTCTTCCAGATTGCCCAGTTTGTTGGCATAAACTTTTCATCATACTCTCTAATTATTGTTTGTGTATCTGTGGTTTTGGTTGTAATCTCTCCTCTTTCATTTGTGATTTTGTCTATTTGGGTTCTCTTTCTTTCGTTTTTTTAGAAGTCTGTTTAGGGGTTTATTTTTGTTTATTTTTTCAAAAAAACAGCACTTAGATTCATTGATCTGTTCTACTGTTTTATTGGATTCTATATTGATTATTCCTGCTCTAATCTTTATTATTTTTCTTCTTCTACTGGCTTTGGGGTTTCTTTGGTGTTCTGCTTCTAGGTCCTTTAGGTGTGTGGTTAGGTTTTGTATTTGGGATCTTTCTTGTTTCTTGAGATAGGCCTGAGTTGCAATGTATTTTCCCCTTAGGATTGCCTTTGTGTGTCTTGGATTTATATCTTATTCTGGATTTTTAAAAAATATTTTCACCTCTTAGTTTTACTGCTTTAAATTGTTAGAGACTTCATTTTATTTCTTTCAACTCAACTAACTTTTTTCCTTAATTTTGATAATTGTATTTTTAATTTTCATGAACTCTTATTTTGTTATTCCTTTGTAGCATATTAGTTTATTCTAGTTCATGAATGGATATCAAGTTTTTCTTATAATACTATTAAGAATGATTTGAAATTGTCTTATCTTACTAGAATTATCTTGTTTCCTTCAGAATCAGTTGTTTTGTCCTCATTTTGACCTTTTTCCTTTTTGTTATTAATTTTAAAGCATTGTTTTGTTTTGTTTTCTTGAGAG